CTTCAACGTAGGTTTTGAGAAGCAAATTTTTGAAGGACAAATGACTGCAAAATGGTAAGATAAAGTGCATATTGTTTAGTAATCCAACAAAAGAAAGGCGATGGGCCTTTGACATTAGGGTACGCTCGAAACATACACTCACAAGTATGTGATACTTAAAAAACCACTAACTCTCTTAGACTTCGAAAGGTTTATTGCCGATTTTAAAAACGCATTGTTATATATCTTGTATTATATGTGGATATTTTCGGAAAAATAACAAGGTGGTAAAGATGTAGTATCATAAAAGGATATATTCTGGCGCGTTTTAGAAGGAAATTTTTTTACCAACAATAGATAATTTGCAAAACATTGTAAACTTTACTAATAACCGCGAAGAAAGTATGTCCAGCTTCGTATCATAAATTAGTTTAAGGGTAAAAACTGAAAATATTTAGAATTTATGACCATGACAGACCATAATTTGCTTTAGATATAATATTTTATTTACCAGACTCTATGTACTCATATTTGGGCTCAGATCTATTGTAATATTCAAGTTAGTTTTCACCACTGGAAACTAAATTTCATGTTATTAATGAACAATGCTGTTGTAATAATTTCTTAATAAGCAGTTGACTCAATTAGAAAAAATCCTTGATATTATAATACAGTGTTATTGAAATAGATAAACACGGTGTGGTTTTCATAGTTGTTTAATCGAAAAGTTCCAACTTAGTTTCGTGTTGAACGTCATCCCGAGGCCTTAAGTAATTGTCCGCTCACTTTCTCATTCGAAAATTATAAAAATTTAATAACTTTTTAATGTATTTTGCTTAAGTATTTTTATTGCAACTAAAAAATAATCGTTCTAAACGCGATATTCGGCTTATGGCTTCGGTTGGTTCTTATTTTGCGAAAATATATATTATAACTCTAATCTATGCTATCATAATGTCAATTAGCTCTTTTGTAGTCAGTCAACCGCCACCGTGTAGTCGGTTTATGCAAAACGGCTGCGATTTTAATGACGTCTGTTTTAGATGGTCTTGACTATATTAACTATTAACGATCCCCAGTGAAGTTAAAACGTCTTCTCTGCCCTGCGGAGACTCTGCAGCAAAAACTCAACTGGCCATTTGGACGATGGGAGAGGTGACACGCCGGTCGTTATCTAAATCGCACTTTCGTCGTCTTCGCACTGTCCTAAAGACTTTTGTAAGTGACTTTTAAAACGGTTGTACACGACGGTTTTTCTTCCTTGGAGTTTCTCAGGAAAATGGCAAAGAAAAAAACCTAAATAAATGGATCGTGGAAAAAAAGACGTCAATTAGAAAAAACGACGAATTTGTATTTTAACTCTAGTATACCATCTTAAACAAACGACAGCCATTTACAACAACGTTATAGTTGGAACTTCTACAGCAGATGTTATCTATAACGACATAAGTTATATGACACAAGTCTATTCATTATTATTGTGCAATTTTATTGTTAAAAAATGTAATAAATTATTATTTTACCTACACGGAAGACGCCTTGGAGATAGCAATGGAATGTGATAAAATTATATGAATATTCAATTGTTAAAGCAGTTGTTTGTAAGTTAATTTAAAATTCAAAATTGCAATGATAAAGAATACAAAACAATACGATGACTATACAACATTTAATTTAAGAAAAGGCTTATTTAGAAACCAAAAAAGTTTCAAATAAGACTTTTTTTACAACAATTAACAACAATGTTTTCATATCTCATTGACTGATAACGTTGTTGCTGACTCATATCGTCGAGTATATAAGCAATTTTACGTTTTAAACAAAACAAGAGCAGGAAACTATGTTAAGCTTAGAAATTCGTACATAATGTTGATAATAAATAGCAAAGTTGGTGTTTCAGATGGAAGATAACCAAAAGGAAGTTAACGGATGTCTGAAGTCATGGTTGGAAGCAGAACAATATCAATTTTCGATTTGTAAAAGTCACTCGCAAATAATAAGTTTTTATTACAACGGTTTGGAAAAAAAAATAATATAGAAGCGGAAATATAGATAACAAATGTCATTTTTCTTAGTGGTCGGCCAGATTGTGACATTTGGACGAATGACGATATAGAGTGGAGGAGCGGACAAAAGTAAAGGTCGGTACAAAAGTTCACGTGAGCCTTACATGTGAGAGTGGAGGAGGAGGAGGAGGTTTTTTAATCAAACTGTCGGCGGTGGTAATCATCGGCCGTGTACAACGTCATGCGGTCATTGCCATCGTATAGGATAATCTTTTGTGCCGTTTTTCCTATACCACAACAGCCGGCTACATTACACTGTTGCAGTTTCAGAAAATATACCAAATAAATTACTCAGTCTCTCTTGTCCACTAGTTCTCCCCTAGTTTCACGCCGTACATGTACGTCTCTTTTAATTAATTGATCTCTGCGACCACGTTATAAGACATTTTTTTCTCTATCCTCTATTCGCCGCCCTTGCCGTCGCCACTTTGGCTTTTTCCCTTCCGTCCGTTATTCCCTATTGCTGTCTCGATCTTCTTATCTCCCTTCCAATACTACCGGCTCCAATTAGACTTATACGCCCACCTCCAACAACTATCGGATTATCAGTATGGCTGCAACCGAGTAATTTATAACAGATAACTCGGTTTTCAAAAGACCGCTTCACACAAACGGCCTTGAAATTAAGTTAAGTAGTAAGTTACAATACCTTAAGGAACAAATAAAATGGTAACAAATAATTTAATACTATTCTAAAAATAGTGTGTCCTAATTTAGCGATAATAGATATAACATTACGGAGTGCATTATCGACGAAAATCTGTCTTTTTCCTACAAGTGAAAGTGTGGGAGATTTCTTAATTGATTATGGTTTTGTTTTCTAAATTGAATTGTAACAAGAAATAAACTACATTTTTTTATTGTTTGATTATGCCTCTCTTACACTTCATATATTAATTTGTATATTAGAACTATACAAATGATTGTATACACTTCCGTCTAAACTATATGCAAATTGCATTACAAGAATCGCGTGTAGTATGTTATTTCGTAGAGATTAGAATACCGGTATCTCAGAAATTGAATAAACAAAGCATTGACCTGACACACAGCGATGTCGGGCACATATTGTTTTTACAGTTACTTACTGTCCAATACGGAATTCAATCATTTGGACATTTTCACGTATGTGAAGAGGGTCCCGCTGGAAATCAATCTATTCGCGTCACCCGATTCGACGTTTTTGGTCTCGTTCCGGATGGACGTGCTCCACGGCTCAATTGTTTTATTCGTGAGTTGCCAATGACTTTTCGATCGGTTACTTTCAATGCTATTAATTAAACACATTGATCATACAGAGAAAGACACCCAAGCGACACTGCGAGCCCATCGCCATTAGATTTCAAATAAGCCTAATATTGTTTTATTATTAACGGTTGTAGTGTTTCGGTTACGAATCTAACGATTTCATACCAAATTTTTAATTATAGACACAAACCAGTCATTAAATATAATCTGTAAACTTTCCTTGATTTCTACCTAATAAATTTAAACAAATTCTGAAAATAAATGGAATTAGCTTTAATTCGGAACGGCGAAGCTATTTTTTATTAAATTGTAAAAACACTACTACTGAAGTGATACTTGCAGTTGCCGTTAAGAATTAATAAAAACTATATAAATAAGAAGTTGAGCATTGTCAATAGGCTAAAGAATATAAGACCTAAGCTCTTTGCTCGTCTCCTAAACCCATACCTGTGATGATATACATATTATAATATTTAAACGGCAACTTGTCGTGGCTCGGGGTGGATGCAGTTTATTAAGCCATTTCTAAAGTTATTATAAATGACTAATGATAACAATACAATAAAGGAACATGGTCATGAATTGTAAGCTAAATTTAATCGTGTCTGATTTCCAAAACGACCGACTATTATATTATTGTCAAGCTAAACGGACAAACTAGAAGCCGTGACTTAAAACTAGCGATATTTCTGTAACCGAATCAATATTATAGTTGACAGCCGTTTAACTTCAGCGGTGTTGTACTTGTATTTTGTAAAATAGCAGACTAGAACGGAGAGACCGAGGGAGAAAAGAGAGAGGGAGAAATACACAAAATAAGAAAAAAGTTTTTTAAGTGGAATAACGAGAAGCGTCTCGAATGCATATACGGCTGTGTTATTAAGAGGGTTGAGAAGACACTCTGGCACTGAGAGAAATTGTGGAAGTAACGGGATCGGGTGATTATCCCCGGCGAAACTATAGAAGTGCAAAACGGACTTTGTCGTGACGGGGGAGTAAGTAGAAGCAAACCGGCCGGAAAGTCGCCAGTCCATCATGTGGAAATATTCCCACGACAATGGCGGCAAAAGACTAGTGCAGAGTGCCGTATGCGGTGGCGTCGCCCGGACGGTGTGTTTACTTAAACGAGCTAATCTCGTCGTTTCCCACGTTACCCACAATTGAATCTCAATTCAAGTGAATAGCACACTGTATGTCGCAAATAAATACATATACAGACATCATTCACAGCGAGTTTTCGCCCGGCGAACTTGGTCGTTTTTCATCACATCATTTTAAAAACCTTAAAAATAAATAAGTTCTATTTACTTTTTGTTCGCATGATAATAACATTATTATATTGAATAGCCGGTCGAAATGCAGACCACCGAAATAACGACGACCAGATTGCTCTTCGTATCTACACTTCAACCGAAACTGTACGAAAATGTTTCCATTTATAGCAGACCACACTAAATTATTTAAATACAAATTTAACATGTTTTGTGTGAATTTTTAATTACAATATTAAATGTATATTGTGTTTTTTGAATTTTGAATTCATTATTTATATATATTTTCCGACAACTACGTTACAAAGGCTTTTGTTTTAGCTATCAATTTATGTTTGCTTTAAAATATTATGTAAGCAACTAATGAAAATCAAATAAGTAGACCGATTTTTCTGTTTGGTTTATAAATAAAATATACAAAAACGTATTTACATACCTTTTTACCGTCCAACTCATGCGATCCTTGGGCTAGCACTTTTTCGACACCGGATGGATCCGCAAACGTGACGAAGCCAAATCCCCTGTAACCAAAACGAAGAGTTTTACGTGAAGCTTTTATTTTTTCTTACGCATAAATTTGTGTTCTGTATACAAGTAGTAAATAAATAACTAATATAATATAATATAAAACAATATTAGTTGTATTTTTTGTTTTTCATTAATTTACTCCAATAGAGTTTTACATGCAACTGACGAAAATATTATTAAGTAAAATAACATGTGACTACACTGAACCATATTTGTACCTCGTTAAAAATACTTTTTTTTGACTTGGATAACTTAAAGGAAATTTGGATGGTTTTCTAGGAAAAATAAATATATATATATATATTAGGGGTGCGCAAATAATTATGAATTGAATACATTTTCAACTCAAACAAAATATTCATTATAATTTACAATTAATATAATATATTCTGGAAAAAAAATATTTATTAACTCAATAATGATTAACGAGAACTATTTAAAAGCGTTTATTGATTGAGATCCAACATATTATTAATTTATGATTTATATTTTTAATTAATGTATAATACATATTTGGTGGTTAAAAATTTTTAGGGGTATAAGAAAGCTACAGAAAATGTATTTACAAAAGCACTAGAAAAAATATATAATTTTTAAATGCATTTTCTCTAAAGGAACTTTAATTAGTTTATTTAAAAATGTAGGTTTCAAATTAAAGCCTCTAATTTTCTAGGACAGATTCTCTTCATAGTTTTATGTCATACTCGTCATACTGTCAACTTAAAAAAAGGGCTGAGGCTTTTACAGAAGTTGTGGTAGATACCATAAGTATTTCATAATATAAAATGAACTCACATGACGAGCAAAAACTTTTTTTTGGTATTAAACTAAAACTGTCGTCTAATCTTCATCTGGTCCCTCAATATGAGCCCTATGGTTTTACTATTAAGTCGAACTCGTCAAGATTTTTGGTTGGTTTGAAAACATTCGAGTTTTTTATTATTTACGATGATGATAAGGAATAATAACGTCAGGGAGTATTTAATAACTCAAAGTACTCTTGTAAACAGTATTTGGGGATAGGAGACGAGTGGGGTATAACGTTTAAGGAAAAAAAATACCTCGTAAATAACGCAAGAACACGCTGACGGGTCATGGTCGTGATTTTGAGGGATTTCTGTTGTGTGTGTGTGCAAAAACTGACCGTTCGGTATATACAAGCGGTAGCAGTGGCGGTAACAACAAAATAGGGGAGAAGTGAAAAAGAGAAGCGGACGAATCAAACGGCACTGAAGATGTATATATATATATATATATATATATATATATAGAACACATTCATACACACACAAACGGTGGTATACGGTAAAGGGTTGGCCGGCGGGTCTTAAATCATAGCCAGGGCCGAAGGTGGACTGTACGGGGGCAGCAAAGGGGAAGGCGAAACGGTTGATTTATGTTCGGTTTTAGCGCGGAACGTATTATTTGTGAAAATGTTACGGCCGTTGCGGCAACCGCCTCTGCCGTCGCTCCCGCCCATCCGAACTAGATTATGTGGTAACTCGGTGTGCTATTAAATTCAACACCGACCTCCGACCCCGTGCAAACCACCCACCATAATATAAACCTCCTAGCTGGCAAAAAATAAACCATCCAAAATAAAATGTATAATATATATTATATATCTATGGCAGACACCCCAACGCACCTTACCTAACTTTACCGATGTACACGGATATATATATATATATATATATATATATATATATTATGTATTATAGATTATTTCTTTCTCCTTATACCTTCTTTCCCTTGTAACTGCAATCAGGCGTTTGGAGGAACTGTTTTCATATCGGCAGGGTGGCCAAGCAATATATAATAATACGACTATGGCCCGGGGCGATTTCACAATATTATTATTGCTAACCACTTTTGCCCCCTCCCCCCATAATTGTAGCCCCTCAGTGCACAATACCAACAAATTACAATCGAAATTCGGCTTTAGTCCGGCCAATCGAATTAAAATCAGCGGTAGCCTTACATTACACGGAGGGTTCCGGGCTGAGAGAGAAATCGATGCGTTCAGCTTATCAACAAGAGCAGTAAAGTACAGGTTTGGTGAGATACATATTTATAATTTTATAATTTCATTACAGTATTTGAGTTCAGTGTATATTTTTAACAGAAGCTATACCAAAATCAATCTACATTATCTTATTAACGCGGCAGTATATCATCTTTTTCCTTTAGAAAATTTATATTAATTTTAATGTTATTTAGGAAACCTAATCTAGTCTTAATTTTAAAGAAAATTATATACATATTATTCATTATAATATAGTTATGACATATTACATCGTAGTTTGTTGTTATCAATCATCATTACTTAGTTTTAACTTATTGTTATCACCAGTTCCTTACAGTACTACAAAAAGCATAAAAAACCTATTATATCCCTAATTATGTATAAAACAATTATTTTGAGTCACTCGAAAAAACAATTTTGTTTCATCGGCATTCAGGTTGACATGCTATTCAAATATATCTTCAATTAAAACAATAACAATTTTTAAATCGCAACGATAAATCATGCATTGGCAAGGATTTCAACCGCACGATATTAGATTATATCTAACATCAAGTTTGCCATGAATTGTCGTTGTATGCAGAACTTATCAACTTGGGGTAAAGTTAACAAAAAAAAAAACAAAACAAAACAAAAACTCAAAAACAAATCAGTATGACAGCCCATTAAAATAAAATACATCAAAAGCGATATCAATCAGGCTGTAGACATTATTAATATACCAACCAGTAGGCTAAATACGCAATGGTACACCAATAAATCAAAACATCCCAACTAAGTAATTAGTTAAAAAAAATAAAATCATTCAAAATAAACTATAAATAACGCCAGGATTATTCGATTAGCTAAAAACTACTTAATTTTTGTTGTGTTTGTGTAGTTTTAAGACTAAAGGTCTAACAATTAGACTGAATGTAGATCTAGAGTGGGACTATAACGTATATTATTTTCTCAAAAACCTGTAGTAAATTATTTTTTATTAAAAAGCAAACCGAAAAAGGGGAATATTGCACAAATCGTAAAGTCAACAGGCATCAGAAAAATATTTTCATTATATTACCAATTACGATACATGTGTAATAATGGCAACAAGTTATAATAGACAGACGATCAACCCAAATCGTATATATCCTAATACTAAAAATATAATTGAGACACATTATTGCCTTTGCTTAGATTTTGTATTGATTTTTAATATGTGTTCTATCTACAGACTCGCATCGAATTGTTTTATTTGCAAGTGATTTTATCACTTTCAGTTATAATAATTCTCGAAAATCTGTCAACTTTCCGATTTCAATAATCTTTGTACCTACTATGCTTCTTTTTTGTTGTTTCAAACAATCCGTTATTTTAAGTACAATTTAATTTTTATTTAAATAAAAAAATATTTAAATAATGCCCAGATTTAGTAGTAGCCACTATATTTATTCATAACCGCGGTTTAATTAAATTGTAATTAAATTAACTGTTACGCTATTAAATTAACACTACTCACAAGTTATGTGGAATAGACATTAGCTATATTAATGCACTCGCATTAGATACATATTATTATTCGAGAGTGTTTCACAGTTAATTTAATTATAAATGTCAAACCACGTTTGTAAATGAATAGTGGTATATTGTCAATAGTGTGAGAACTGAGCGGCGATTATATAACTGATTTGCAGTCGTACAGCTTAAAGAACACTTCCCGACGTCATTGATGCCATAATAATAAAAATTAAAACAATAATAATAAATTAATTAAAAAAATATATCACAAACACACTTAAAAAAAACCCTATTTTCCATTGATTCCTACCTTGACACATATTTCAGCTCGTTTTCTTTTCCGGTAGACTGATCAGCTACAGCAGCACGGCTGAAACCCCATTTACAACGTATAAACACAACTGTGCTCACAATATTATTAACCCATGTAACGCAATGGACACGGCTCGAACTCAGCCCAAAAACAGAGTCGGGTTCGATTCCCGTTCATTGAGAAACATAGGCTGTACCCTAGCACAAGCTTATTTGTGGGGGGGGGGGGGTCGTTAGAAATTTATACGTATTTGAGTGTCATACATTTGAATAAGCATAACCGTACAAATATATCATACAATATGTGTACAAACAATTTGTCCGTGCATCTATCGTAATACAATTTTATACGACCTTATTAAAACATGTATACTCATATATACATATGTATCATATAATATTTGTTTTTATTCTTGTATAGACAATAATGAAAAAAAAAGTTTTGTTTTAGCTTTTGCATGATGTTATATAAGGAAAAAAAACCGTCGGCACAGCAAAAGAGGAGGGAATGAAAATATTATGGTATTATTATTATTATTTTTTTTTATGATGAAGGGGATTGAAAACCGCAGGCGTCTCGATAGGTCAATATAATATGGTAATGTCGTCTGAGCCGGCAATGGCTGGGAGGACAGTTTATTATTTAGATCACATCACATCCACACACACAAAACACACTGGGAATCGAACGACACGGAAAATCCGAATATTGTATAGGTATGTTGGCGAAGTGATCTCGATGCACAGTACTTCAGCGGTGTGCGTACCGATGCGGAATTTTTCCACTTTATATTATTTATTATACATACATTTTCCGTCTAGGTCTACACGCGCAGTCAACCCTTAATTTTTTTTCTTTTTGCGTCTACAAAATCGATTGACGACCCAGCCCTTCATCATCGACGCCCAACGATATTTTTAACGCAACATTAAACACACACACACACACTGTGTTCTCTTACACTGGCAGCCGCCGTCTCTATCTATATTTCATATTATCAACCATTCAGTGTGAAGTAAAAACTTACGAGAGAGGGTATTTTCGAATCATATTAGTTTTACATTTCCCACACCATACCTATTGTCGAGCGTTATAATAATAATAATAATGTGTAATACACGCTAGTGTAATGTCGAATGACAGAGACATGCGGCAATAATACATCAGTATAATAATACAGTAGAATTTCTATTAGGAAAAAAGTATTTCTACGCTAATGAAATGCATAATAATAATTCTAGGCAATCCTTGAATTAAAAACCTTAAAACTTAAAATAAATGCTAAATTTATTTTTATTTCAACAAATCTCTTACTAAAATAAAAAGGATAGGTATTTAAAAAAGCACTGGTTTTAAGATTTAAGGTTTTCAGTATCCCAAGTTCCCCCCAGATCTCCACCAATGCAATCAATAACATGAAAAAACTGACTGCCTGCCAATTGAATCCGGACTGGCGAAATAAACTAAACATTTAAAAAAACATAAGGATTTAGATAAGTCGTTTCATAATATTTGCGTATTTTTCAGTTTGAAAAACTTGTTTAGTTATCAGTAAAATACAAATTCATTGTGTTGTCATACTATCTGTTATTACCAAATTATCAATTAACGATATTCGAGGATACAAAATTGGTTTATAATATTTCTTCGTACCTAAGCTGAGTTGAATGAAAAACAGTTAATTTAATTTCTATATAAATGAATACAATTATGAATTATTTTCGAGTAAAATGTTTTAATTAATAATGTACGGTGTACCCTTGGTGCGTTTTAATAACGACGGATTGCATGTCACAGTGAACTTTAAAACGATCAGATTAATTTTTCACAGATCTGGCAATTGGCACGCAAAGGTGTTCAAACCAAACCGATCACAACATCATAATAGGCAATAAAGTTTTACGCGAATGTCGGCTACAACTTTTATAATGGTTTAATCGTTCAATCGCCGCCGGTTTATTGAAATGCGTAATAAATTATTGCGCCTGTGTTTAATAGCGGCACCCGTTTCGGCCAATTATAATACCGAATATAATAATAATATTGAACAAATGGCGACAGCGTAAACCTATTAAATTTCCCTCGGGGTCTGTATTTCATATAATGTTAAATGTATTGCTATAATAATTATTATAGCTGTGTATACGTCGCACTCTTTTTATAGACTCGTTGTATAATAATTATTGCCATAAAATATTCAACCAAAGTATGTTTGATATAGCTGGAATTATAGAATAAAATACGATTTTACCCCCCCCCCCTTCCAATTAATAAAGTCTACCGGATTTTACTTACTGTAAGCATCTTGTGAACGCGTTAAAAAACTATTGGCGTTCAGGAAATCAGAATAAGCGCTTAACGAGTGGAAACAATAAGGTACAACACCGCGCCGTAGCATTCCGACTGCGACAGACAGATGAGGTTCCGGGAAATATATGTGACTTAACTTTCCGGCTCTATTCATAGTCGTTTAATAATATTGTTTTCATCGACACTGAAAGTCGCAGTGACGTGTTAAAATAATTATAGAAACTCCATCCAAAACAATTTTTTAGTGAATATCAAGTTAAGTGTGCTAAAATAATAAACAAAAAAACAACTAACATAGGAGACTTTTTGAAAAGAAAAATATTATGTTGTTGTTAGAATAATAATTTTATTTATGAAGCAGGTACGGTACAAATCTGTATAATACATCTTGAACAAATTGTTGTTCAACAGTCCCTGAGACTATTGCTTCAAATTTACCTAATAGATGGTGCTAACCCGTCTTTCTTGATTTGTTATATCTCTAGTTTGGGTGACAAATATAAAACAGCAATAGCACAACGGAGACATGTCTAAAGGGTTTTGCCGGCGTTACTACGCTATATACTGCAGAGAGCTGGTAATGAGCGCAACGGTGTGTGATGTGTAATGGAACAATCAATGCGTCACCGTCGTCGGCGGTGGCTAATGGCGAATCAAACCCTTTCCGCCGGCCCGGCCGTCTATCTGTCTCCCTGTCTATCCGAGCTGTCACATATCCCCGTGGGAGGCGCGGGGTACGACCGCCATTCGGTCGGAGGAGATGACGGGCTAGATAGGTAGGTGAACGACGACTGGTGGTGGGGTTGGTAGAAAATGAAGGAGAGTGGGGGGGAGAGAGGTGGTAAACCAGGTCGAAGATAGCGGTGTCAGGCTGACTGGTGCGCTGCGCTAATGCACTCCAAGAATGACAAGAGAAACACATTTAGTTTTGAGAGGGACAGGTGACGCTACCGCGTGCATGGCGCTGCGGAGAAGAGACCTCGATGAATAATTGTTGGCCATCCATTTAGGTTCGAGCCGGCGGTACCTACGCCTCTCCATACGTTCTCTCCGACTAGCTATTCCGGCGAAAATCCGCCGAGGAAATATCTACGGGCACATAACTACGTCCTCCCCTCTTCCGCCGGCCTCGACAATCGCACCGGTCCCCCGACAGACGTGTTTGATCGCTCGAACTCGGTGCACGCAAACACACATCAGCACGTTTCGTACCTACTTTTGATTGATTCTAATGGTTTTGGCTTGGAATTCTATCTCGCTGATAAATTGTTAGTCTTTCCGCAGTGTCTCGTCTGTACACACATACACACGTTGCAGATCTTATTTTATTTCTTGACTTGCCTGCTGAATACGACGATTACGTGGATAGGGGCAGTTATGGTGGTGATGATGACGCCAATGTGACGGCCGAATGAATAATATACCTACACATAACCGCAATAAGCTATATCGCGAAAATGTATCATGTTAAAAAAAATTATACGGCGAACAAGCGTTCGGGCGGCTATGCTGGCTTTTAATAAAAAAAAAGTTATAATAAAATAAAAAAACTTTTTGTAGGCGATATTGTACTTCGGTACACTAAACCTCGCCGAAAAAATGCTTGGAGGGGGAGTCTATATTGATGCGCTAGCACGTATATGCTTAATCCATTAACTTAAAGTTACCAAAAATGAGTTTAGGGTTGCCTAATGAAAACATTTTTCGGAAACCCGTTAACTTTACTATGAAATTGACTTTACGAATCTCCATATTTTTGTTTTTTTCTTTAATAAAAAAAAGTTTTGCTACAGATTTTTAAGAAAATTGTATGTATGTTATACAATGTAATTTTTTATTTTGAAGGGAAACGGGTAAACTTTTTAATATATTATTAATAAAATAAAATTAGTGTCGTTCATGTTTTAAAATACTTTTCTTTCTGTCCTTCTAAAGCCACTTTAGGATAAAAAATTACAGGTATGAGAAATATATTTCGTGAGTTAAATAATGAAGTGTCCTAAAAAAAAAATGAGAATAAGTTGGATCTGATCCAGACTGTTCAACTTCCCAAGAAGTATTAGCGTTTCAATGCGAATATTAGAAAAGTTATTTATTTTTGGCAGGTTTTTTTGATTAAGTGGAAAAAGTGTAAACTTTTTTGTACACGTACCTTTACCCTTTTAAGCATAATTATTAAATACATTTTTTATTTTTCCTGGCCGTTTATTCCAATGAGATTAAATACTCTGATCACGTTTTTCATAACTCTCTTTTTATAGACAAGTTTAATTGGTTTTCTTGCGACTTTATAAAATTACTTGAATACTGGTTAAATGCTTTAGATACATTAGTCCTGATTCGATAGTTTAGGAATAATTTCTTGTTTCCAAATCTGCAATAAATGTACTCATTTTTGAAGTACAAACGAATTCTGAGTAATGATTACTATACAGTTAAACAAATATAATTAATATAGCTTATAATAAACATTTATATTGTACGGAGAAAATTATTACACTGAACTTTTATTTAGTTGCACAACGGGTCAAGTTGAAGGCAGCAGAGGGGAAAAAACGTGCGACACCGGGTTACTATATACACGATTTTTTCAATTGGCTCGTAAGGATTCGTCGGGTGCCCTTAAAAAAACGCATTATTCAGACAGTCATTATGTGTTCGTCAATAGCAAGGGGTAAAAAGGTGGACGGACGAAACGAGGAGGGCGGTTCAAAATGCAGGTTCAGCATTTCTTGCAGTACTCAACC